AATGGATGCTGCGTAGCAGATTGATCCATTCCCCCGGAGTTCGATTGTCGAAGTCCAGTCCACTCAAATTGAATGGACTGGGCCAACAGAATAGAGTGGCCATAAGGGTCCACTCATTTAGACTAATCGCCCGACGATTGGGCTCGGCGGCCTTGAGTGCTTCCAGTACGACGATAGGGTCCTCTCCGGCATTCTGCAGATCCAAGACGGATCGCAAGAAGAGGTCCCGCGTGGAGTCGAAAAGAGACTCGAGCTGTTTCAATTGGTCGTTCAAGTCGATGGCTCGTCGTAATGAAATTGCTAGATCTAAATAAAATCGAATGAATTAAATTAAATAAATCAAATGAAATTGAATAAAAATGGACTTACTATGCGTACTGCTAGTAGAGGCCTTATGGAGCGCGTTGAGCGCGTCCATAGCCAGCTCCACATCCAAGGACCCCAAGCACTTCAAACTCCGTGAGGAGCAGGCTTGACATTTGTACCCGGGTAGTGGAGCCGAATTTGCTTCCAAATCCCCTCGAGCAAGCGCCGAAACGCAAGCTTGACTGGGAATGGAAGGCTATATAAAATAAAGCCATATTAGCAATTAAATTAAAATAAGAAATTGAAAAACAACTTACGTCGCGGATTACCCGGTTAACTTGCATCAAGTCCTGCATCGTGAAACGAGCGTTTTGAGTCTCCAAAATGGAGCCCAGCTCGACGAAGTCAGGATTGATTGTAAGAAGAGGGTTTTCTCGAGTTAAGGCAGCGCTATTCTATTAAATTAATATAGTTAGCATTTGGAATGAATCAAATTGAATAACAACGACTTACCCTGGCATGAGCAAATCTGGGAAAGGGTGTGAAGGCACCAGTTGACTGCTCAGGGAGCCGTAATCGTCCTTGAGAGTCCGCCAGAAGTACCGGTTGGAAGGTATTATCCGGGGAACGCTCAGGAACGGGCTTCGCTGCAGCCTTAGACACTTGACCCGTTTAACGGGACGACGAGGCAGTGAAGCTACAATCGAATTAAATTAATAAAATGAGACGAAAAATGAAGAATAAAAATTCTACCAGATATGGAAGATGTCGTTTTGAGGCGTTTTGGAGGAGGGGCAATATCCTCATCCTCAGCCTCATCTTCAGACTCAACTTCATTGGAAGTTGAGCCCTCGTCAGTGACAACGATTTGTCGCGCTTTTCCTTTTGAGGCAATCGAAGTATTTTTCCTCGAACGAGGAGGGAGTCGAATCCTTTTGTAAGCCATACCAGCAGGAAGGGGACGATCAGCCTTAGAATCTTCAACTACCTTGACGGTAGTTTTGGATTTAGGCTCCCCTTTACCTATGGAAACCTTTGTAGACGAAGAGGCTACGGGAGCTGAGCCTGCGGAAGGGAACCCACTCAAGAGTTCATTATCCGAGTCTTTTGAACGGGCGGAACGGGGAGAAGCAACTGAGTGAAAAGAATGGATAAATAAAACAAAAATCTATGAATTAAAGTTATAACTCACGAAACGAGGAGGCATCGGCCTTGAGGTTCTCTAACTCCCGATTCCTTCTAATTAATCGTGGAGGAGCTACGAGCGCTTTGGAAACAGAGGTTGAAGATTGGATCTCCAAGGGTGGTGAGGAAGTAGTGGCCTTCAGTGCAACCGCCGATGATTCTTTGCCACGTAATGAGGCAAAAACATCCAAATCCTTAGACGAAACCATACGCATCATTGCGCTTCCCTCACGAAAGCGTAAACAAAACGGAATTGGAATAGCAGGGAATCGTTCGAATTTGTGAACACCCTGTAAATTAAATTAAATGAGAATGAAGAGAATGTAATAGAAAAGGAACACTTACTTCAGCTGAAGAACGGTGCTCCAGTGGAACCCCCCATTGTTGCGTCAGGTTGTCACGAAGAAAAATTGGAAGATCAAGAGATAGGGATTCTGCCGACAATAAAACTTGCTCCGCGAATAAAGGGCAATTAGCCCGACCGATCCAGAAGTCCCGAATATAAACCTAGTGAAAACCATTAATATAAACGATGTAGGAGGGGTTTTCAGTTACGCACCAGAAATGGTGCAACCTCCTCAAAAACATTGTAAATCTCCGACTCTGTTGGAGGTGAATCATCTACCAAATCCTGCAAAGTTCGAACTGCCATTTGGGCAGAACAATACAGATCCAAGCCTGATGCTACTGACAAGGGGCGCAAAGTCTCGGAAGGAAAGCAAAATGGAAGTAAAGGGCGAGGATATGAAAAGGCCGGAAAGGAACCAGATCCATCGTAATCCGGGGAATGTTGAGAATCAAGCAAAGGGGGAGAATAATCTCCCGCCTGAAGGCGTTGGAAAACTGCGCTTTCGAAAAATAGAGGAAGTGTTGATTTAGATTGAATACCCGCCAGCATCACTTGGGCCTCCATTAGAGAGCATGGTAGACGCGTGGAAGAGGCCGAAGCTCGAGTTTGACTCGAGGTCGAAGCCATTTTGACGAACGAGATGAAAGAAAGGAATAAAGAGGGAAAACGGACTTCAACAAAAAATTTCATTGAACCCCGTGCCCCAAACCAAATAAGTGTACACACTGAATCAGTGCGTACGTCAGAGCAGTTTTCCGTGAAATGGAAGCTCGTTCTGTGACTAGATGATGAAAAGATTGTGAATTAAATTTTCGAAATGTGATACGAATACCGAAAAAGTATTCAATTCAAATTGAGCGCTAAACTGTTACGATTCGTAGCAGGCGTGTGAATAAATTGATAAGATGAGCGCTAGAAACCCATTTGAGGGCATCCAAATTGATTGGAGAGCACGGAGAAGTAGAGATCCAAACCCAGTGATTTACATTAAAAGGAGATATAGTCTTGTCGAATCAATCTAATAACAGATTGGGTATCCTTTCCCTATACAAAACTACGGATGACCGAGGACGGTCAAATTCTTTAGTTTGGGGGGGATGACACGCCTAAATTTTGGCTAGACGTCGCTGTGAATTGTGACATTTTCACGTATAGATTTGTATCAAGAGGACTGTAATTGAGACCCAGATTGACAGTCAAAGTCAATACTGAATCAGTCTAATAAGTTGAAGGGACCATATACCCATACTACCACAAGTTGGTTAGTTTACCCATCCCCGATACTACCTACGGATAGCAGTCTACCTGTTTGTCAAGCAGGATTATACCAGACTCGGACTACATCCGAAGGATGACCATTCACGTATGACATACCAAGGGTATTCTTATTGGACCTTACACTGGCAGGAGTTTGGAAGAACTTACTCAAGTGACCATGAACCGAGGATTGACTCGAAATGACTTTCTAGAACTCAGGAATTATCAAATACTCCTTCTAAAACGAGATCATGCATTAATCTAAAAAGACTGCGATTTAGTCTAATAGACCAATCAAGTTGCATGGTTGAGGAAAATGACTAGAAGAATGATCGAAGTACTGCGAGGCTCCGAAGACATATCAAATGAATGTCAAAGAGTCCTGACGTAGAAAACATTGAAGAATGCAATTAAATGAATACTATGTGTAACTCCCTTGATTGAGTATAGGCACAATGGGTGTCTATTGAAAGAGAGAAGCAATTAGTTTAATCCGGATGAATCAGATTGATAGGATTAGAATCGAGGAGAGCTGATTTGCCTCCGGACGAGGTGACAAACGATCGAAGTAAGTGTTGAACAGCAATGACAGTTGAACACCATTCGAGTCATCCTCCAAAAAACAATTAAATTAAATGAATATTGAAGTACCTACCTATGTTTGGAGGTATACTAGAATCTTGGAACCAATATGGACCAAATAAGGACATGTAGATTCAAATTAAATGGTATCTGATTGAGTGTAGAAGTTTCCTTGCGGTTCCGAACGTTTATTGTATTAAATTAATTGTACTATGCGACTCTATATTCTGTATGTATAAATAGCGATCCGATGTATCTGGAATACAAGGGATTTTGGGACGACGTTGCAGTGCTAATCCGTAAAAAGGAAAGACACACTCCCGCCAGACTAAAACCTCTTCGCTAGCAGCCATTCGGGCCCGGCACTTGTGAGTATAGGAACGTCGTGTTCTGCTCCTTGTGACTGCGAGAAGTATATCCAGTTGTTGGGTATTCTCCGAACTTAGGATCAGTCGTTGGTCTTAAGGGCAAATCACGCTGTGTGGTTGTGCCAGCACATAGTTCTAGCCCTCTGTAGGGGTCTGTGTGTTTCGGTTTTAATTTACTTTGATTCAAACCCCCAATTCTTGATATACCCAAATCAATACAAACCAAAGCACAAATCGTGCTGAATCTACCTTGATCAAAGGAATATATCGAATCCTTAGAACAATTCAAATTGATTAATCAAAGCTTCGTACTTAGCTCTCAAAGCTTTGCGGAACCTTTGCCAACGCTACCCCTTGCTATTAAATAAATTTGATAGCAGTGAACTCGCATATTGTGTATTAGATTGGTTGGTTGGAGTGCCCATTAGATTCCTTCCTTTCTCTTTCACACAAAAACGAGGCAAGCTCGTTACCGGCGCCTCCCCTTCCTCCTCTACCTCCTTCTCCTCCTCCACTATCTTCTCCTTTTCCTGTTGTTCCTCCTCTTCTTCGCTATTTTCCATTATCTGCCTCCTCTTCAAGCCCCTCGGCCTATCAGAGACCGATCTCGATGGCCCTGGTGTTGCTGGTCCGGACATCGCGTTCCTGGTCTCGATAGTGATCAACCGAGCGTGGTCTTCGTCCTGTCGACGCAGGAGCTGCCTGAGGTATTGATGAAACTTTGAGGTAGCTTCCCTCAAGGCTTGATTGTCCGCTAGAAGTTGAGCCATCTGGCTTTCCATCATGGCCATCCGCTCGCCGCTCGGTCCTCCTTCCCGCTTTACTTGTACTGGCCGACCCGAGTACGAGCACTTTACTTTTGCATCGTGACACGGTTTGCAGATTACGGTACTCCGTTTTCCTACCTGCTCCAAGCAGGGAATTTTCTTGCTATAACACCGCTCGCAGGGTGCTCAATCTTCGTCGTCTTCGTCGCCGTCATCCGGTTCTCCGCCACTAACCTGGTAACGAAATGAGTAAGTTAATTTTCAATAAGGAAGCGGGTACTTGTCATGCCTTGGCTACAACCAGACCAGCCCCAGTACCCCCAGTACCCGCCACACGTTGTCATACTTCCTACCCACCTTCTGTACCTCCTCTGCACCTCCCCAAGCATTACCATGCACCTCCCCAAGTATTCCTGATATAACTCCCCAAATGACCTTCACCCTGACGCGCATACAAGATCCTCCTAACCGTTAACCCCTTTTAGTACTAATCTCGATTACCTCCCTCCCTCGATTAGCTGCCTCATGTCTCCAGATGTCCTCTTGTTCACTTCCTGTACCTATTTAAGTAGCGCCGCATCGTCCCAAAGCCCCAGCTTGGTATATTTTGAACACACACCCTTTACATAGGTCCAGTCCCTGTCCCTTTGTACCTGCTAACCGTATGGATATTTCTTTACTCTCTGTTTTCTTATCTCTGTTTCTCTCTATTCTTGTCTACTGTTTCGACGATCGTCTACACGATCCAATCTACACTTTTGCTTCACGTGTGAGCAATCCGAGTGAGTCCTGTGAGGCCCTGGCACAGAGGGCCTGCTCTGGTCTTACCCAGACTGGGCCTAAGCAAACGCGGTAGCCGCCTAGGCCATACGAGGAGGTATGGGAAGTGCCAATACTGGTGAGGGGAGCCTAACCAGAGGTGGGGGTAGGAGGTTGAGAGAGGTGTTTAGAGAGATGAGACAGAGAAGAGAAACAGAGGTGAAGGAAACAGAGTTGAGGGAAACAGATAAAGAGGAAATATATGACAGGTGAGATGTGTCAGGCCCTGTTAGCAAGTACTAGTAGACTGTACTAACAGGGACCAAGCCAGGTTGGAAGAGTTTCCAGGTAAGATTTGACAATAACACACTGGGGAGCTCCGAGGGGAGTCCCCAGCCTATATACAATACATGTGACAGCCATGTGGCATATTACATAATGGTGAAAGCGGACAAGGGGAGCTCTGGGTATACAGTGGAGAGATATAGGAAGGTAATGAAGAGGAATATGATAGGTAAGGAAGCAAGATCAGGCAAGGCATGACAAGTCCCCGGGCTCCCTTGAACAATATTAAAGCTCCCCCAACGCCTAACGCCTTGGAGAGCTAACCTCCCCAATACCTCCTCGAGCTCCCCCATTGCTCCCTAAGCTTCGGGATCTTGATCTAGGTAACGTCGAACTACATACCGCTTCGCCGTTACAACCTCCCACACTCGAGGACGCCCACCCTCGATCCCAGTCCCCAGGAACCTACCCTCCCGGGCGTATATCTTCTCAGGAGCTTAGACACTCCATACCCAATCCCAATACGACCTATTCAATCCTATATTGACGTTCTAGCGAGTACAACTCCTACCACGCAATACTACTAGGTTCCGTACATCCATCTTCCCTACCTACGCCCTAGGGACCTCTCAGGACCTTACAGGGACCTCCTCCAGGGTCACACCTCTCTGTCTCATCAACTACTAGGTCATTCCTGTCCTCGGTCGCGGTTCCCGTAGCTCCCTTCGAGCTCCAGCCTGCTCTTAGCACGCTACAGCATAAATTCCTTATACCAAACCCACCCTAAGACCTATTCTGACCCAGGTCTTACAGTACTCACCTCGTTCCCCTGGGAGGCCTTTCCCTTCTTCACCACACAAGGGATGGCCACTTCCACTCTACGAGCAGAAGTAGTAGCCTCACCTGGTGAGGGCCCCCGACAATTCCGAGCCGCTGCTGCTGCTGCTATCCTCCTTCTCTTCTCTGCGTTTTCCTCCTCCATCCTCCTGGCATTGGCAGCCTGAACGGCAGCCTCCTCCTCTGCCTTCCGCTTGGCCTCTTCCTCGGCCTTTTTCTTCTCCTCCTTTCTCTTCCTGTTCCTTTCCCTGGTATGTTCCAATTGGAGCTCGAGCTCCCGCTCCTCATCAGACGGATCCAGCATTGAATGGCGAGTTGGAGCCGAAGGTGGCGAAGGTTGTCTACCCGTAATGGGGATAGAGCCGATGGTGGTAGTCCAGGTAGTAGTACGACTGGAAGACATGAGAGAGAGGACTTAGAAGTTTTGGATTGAAGGACCACGGCAAAAACCCGCCTTAGCTTTATAGGGTCAAAACGGCGCACGGACCAGCAAAAATTTTCCTTTGAATTGAGTTTGGTTTACGGGGAGCCGGAAAATTTCTTGGATGACTAATGACAATTCCCGGTACCAACGGCTTACGAAAATTTTTCCTGCTGACTGATAGGACAAATTTCCGATGCTGATGGCGATTAAAATTTTCCTCTGGTGACTAATCAACTCCCGCTATTAACAGCTTTTGAGGGCTCAAGCCTAAGAGGGGGATACTGTCAAGCCCATGCCTTGGGCCTCCATTCCAAAGATCCACTGTTTATTGTAATCTCTGCTTATTGTTTTTTCTCGTTACACATACCCTTCCGTTCTAGTCTCTCCTTATTGTCTTTTACTTTACCCTGCAGGTACTACACGTATAGCTCCTAGTAGTTAGTCTGGCGCTCCGCACCGATGCGCCGTTCCGTAGATATAAATACTGCCTGCATGCTACTGTAGTTCCTCAGTTTAATTATTGACTTAGATCGACTTAGATTCCCTCTTAACTCTGTGCTCCTCTAAGTCTTCAGGCTCAACGCCTTGAAGTACATTCTACTCTACCTTAGGACTTCTACGTTCTTTGGTTCGCTCCTCGTCACCAGCGATACCGCCGCTCCGACTTGGCTGCTACTTAGCTCCTCCCTCTATACTCACGATCTCCGGGGACTAACGGCGTAACGGCGGTGTTGTTAATAACTTCACTACTGTCCCACTCGTCTTCCGCGCTTAGACACTCTGTGACCTCTGGCACGGTTACACGGTGTACATGATCTTAACAGTCGCTCTGCCCCAAAGTTTGATCTGAAAAATGAGGCACTCTTGCCAAATTTCCTCGAGGAGTTCGAACATACTGCTAAAGTGGCAGGGGTCGATGGAGACGCTGAGAAGATGAAGAGGACAGTCCTAGGATACCTCGACGCCAAAACCATGAGGTTCTGGCAGTCACTGGACACTTTTGATGACAATACGAGGACTTGGGAGGACTTCAAGATCGAGATCTTGGACTATTACCCCGGCGCAACGGGTACTGCTGAAGTCACTACTGAAGAACTGGTACAGGTTGTCGAAACTTTTCAGAAGAAAGTTATTGTCATGCCCTGGCTACAACCAGACCAGTCCCAGTAATCATCACACGTTGCCATACGTCCTAACCACCTCCTGTATGTCCTCCGCACCTCCCCAAGTATCACCCGACACCTCCCCAAGTATTTCTGACGCCACTACCCAAACGTCCTTCATCCCGACACGCGTACGAAAGCGCTCTAGCCGATAACCCCTTTAAGTATTAATCTCGATTACCTCCCTCCCTCCGATTAGCTACCTCATGCCTCCAGATGTTCTCTTGTTCACTTCCCGTACCTATTTAAGTAACGCCTCAATGTCCCGAAGCCCCAGCTTGGTATATTTTGAACACACACCCTTTTGCATAGGTCCAGTCCCTGTCCCTTTGTACCTGCTAACCATACGGATTTCTCTTTCCTCTCTGTTTCTCTACCTCTGTTTCTCTCTACTTCTGTCTATTGTCTCTCTGATCGTCGGTACGATCGAATATACGCTTTTACTTCAAGTCTAAGCCTTCCGAGTGAGTCCCCGAGCTCCCTCGAACATTACTAAAGCTCCCCAACGCCTATCCGCTTGGTAAAGCTACTCTTCCCCAAACCTCCCAGAGCTCCCTAGCTACTTCGTAAGCTTCGGGACCTCGATCTAGGTAACGTCGAAGCTACCCCTCACGTCGAACTACGTACTGCTTCTCCGTTACCACCTCCCACACTCGAGGACGACCATCCTCCAACCTAGCCCCCAGGGACCTACCCTCCCTGGCATATCCCTTCTCGGGAGCTTACACCCTCGAGACCCCGTTGCATAAACTACCTACTCGACTCTATATTGACGTTCTAGCGAGTACAACTCCTACTACGCAATATCTTACGGTCCCGCACTCGTCCCGAACCTCCCTACGCATTAGGGACCTCCCTGGACCTCCTAGGAACCCCTCAAGGGTCACCATCTCGTCGTTCCAACCACTACTAGGTCATTCCCGTCCTCGGTCGCGGTTCTCGTAGCTCCCTTCGAGCTCCAGCCTGCTCCTAGCACGCTACAACATAAACCTCCGCATACCAAAACCTACCCTAAGACCTATTTTGACCCAGGTCTTACATTATACCAAGCTCTCCCGTCACCGAACGGACTCGTCGCGACGAAATGTCGGCGACGTCAACGGAACGACCTTCTAGTTCCAAGACCGAATTGAAGAAACAAAAGAGCGCCTTATCTCGTGGAAACACGACACAAGCTCAAAAATCGAACCAGGCTGCTAGCTCCACTGTCATCACGGTGGCAGCTGGTCAACGCCTGATGTCCATCCCAGAACAGTCGTTCGGGGATGAAACCGCCAGCAACATCCGGACCCCAGAGGGACGTCAACCGGAAGTTCAGGGGCCCCCTCCAGTGGAACCTGGGATGGGACCACCACAACGGAGGTTTACCTCCATGGGTTACGCCCAACCTGCCAGTAGTCCCATGGGAGGTTTCGCATACTCCCCTACCTGGGGAACGAGAGGACCTCCCCCTGGACCGATACCGCAGCTAGATATGGAGTCAGCTTCGAACGCGGGCGGAAGAGTCAGCGGTCAAGTAGCCGCTATCGAAAGGATACAAGGGGGAAGTACTGACCCTCTCACAGTACGACAACAGGAGAAACTTCCAGAGAGGAGGGTATCCCCTGCCGTATCCGAACAATCTCGGACTTCATCTCGGAGGTTACCAACACCTCCAGTACAGTCCCTTAACCTTCCTCCCCCGAGACGAGGAAGTTCACTCTCCAGTCTCCTGAAGAGCCCAGCTATGAATACGCCCAACTGGGAGCGTACACACGCAATACACCATAGCAGGACCAACTTCCCAGTACAACCCTTGTCCGAAATGACATTGCGTCTGGAAGACGTCATTCGAATTCAGGAGTGTATCCCGGAGGATGTAGCTATGGTCCTAAGGGAGGTATTGGAGTCAATGGGGATCGAAATATTGGGAGACGGTCTCGAATTCTCAGACCTACGAGTACAGTTCCTAACAGTGGGAACTCAACTGGAGATAGACCTCCCAGAGAAGGCCCAGCAGTGGCTGATGACCCCCGCGAACCGATCAGATTTTCTCTGGCTGTACAACGTCCTATTGGACCCAGAGAGGATGTTGGAACTGTTAGAGGCAGAGGCACGTTACGGGCGATCGTTCCGAAACTCGAGGGGAATACTTCCCCTCCTCCCTCATACCCATGGAAGGGAGAAGGAATTCTGTGGCGAAGCAGGGCTACGTATATTGTACCGAGCCTCTAACTACAGATCAGGAGCCGTACGGTTTGAACCTCCCCCTTCGAGGGTGAACATACCGAACTACCAGGCGATCCAAATACTTCGGAACGCAAACCTAGCGGAAGCAGCAGCTAAAATCGATGAGGAAAGTAACGAGGATGCTAACGCAATCGCTGCAAAAAATCGTAGACGCAGGAGGTACACCACGGCTCACCTCCTGGCCCCAGTGGAGTCAATGCCTGATCAGGATAGTCCCGTCCGGGTCCGTAACGGACAGACGGTATACACGTACACGCCCATGAGGCATATGCACCAGCTTCTGGTGAGGAGTGAGGAGTCTGAAGCGATGTTGTGTTCGCAGGAGACCCGACATCGGACGCTACTAGCGGAATCAGACACTCTGATGCTGTCGGAGGAACTTTCTGGATCGAATCTAGAAAGAGCTTTGGAATTCCGTCGCAGACTGGTCGCGGATAATCGGGGAACCTCGTATATGGTTCAATGCGAACTCGAAAGCGTAGGGGAGTTCCCTCCGGAGCAATTTGACCAGAAAGGGCAGCTCCATGGATCTGATGGTCGTTTCCTGGCGCAGAAACATTCATCGCCCAGGAATACCGAGGTTCCTGAACTCCTTAACCCCGGTAACACGGCCACGAGGAGCCCCCAGTTACGCTCTGGGACCTCCCCCACTGTACATGCCTTGGCTCAAAATGCGACTCCTCCCCCCAGAGTTAACCTGCAAACGAAACCTTTAACCCCAGTCTCGACGCAGCGATACCAGTTTGGTGAGGTGAGGATAGATGGCGCACAACATTCATCCCGGATCTCCGGACAAGATCTGACAGCTCGGTTGGCTCCCAACCCTGTACACGTTCCTCCAAGACTGAGCAATCCATCAGTCATTCCGTATCAAGGGTCGGTATCGATGCAATCTCAGGCAGTGGGAACGGAAAGTCAAAGGGGTCCGAACCAACGAAGAACGTTGGCAGTTCACGAAGAGGCGGTACCCCCGCAGGGAGCTCCTTTTGGAACTCCCTTTGTAACGGGAGCTCAGATGAACCGACCTGGCATGGCGTTCGAGTCGGCACGCTCTCAGGAATCGGTAGCAATGATCCAACAACAGGCTCGGGTCATTGAGACGCTCCAGGAACAACTCCGCGAGGTAAAGAAAGGATTCACAGCGGGGGAAGTACCGACTGGAGGACCCCTTTCCAAAACAGGAAACACGGCGGGATTATCCGGGCGAGCACCTAGGGTAATGAGAGAATATACGAGGGGGGGTCCTTCTCCTGTAGTTCCCCAGCCAAGGAGCTGGCAAGCTACGGAACCAATATCCTTTAACCGAAACACTCCTATAGGAGCTAGGGATGGAAACCCCCAGGAAGAACAAGCAGGACAGATCCCGGATACTCCGAGTGTGGACCGACGACGTATTCACGAGTGGGGAGCCCGAGTACAAAGAGCTGAACTAGGGGAGTATGGGAGACCAGAAGGAGGAGCGTACGCGTTGGAAAACGAGGGAGGAGGCAAAGGCGGTTTTAACCCCCCTCCTAGAGTACCTCCCCCACATTTTTCTAGTCAATCGAGAGATCGAGAACGACCTCTGAGTCAAGGGGGACAGGGTCA